ACCTTCAAGGCCCTGTCCTTGAGTGGTTTAGGTCCTACCTCTCCCACCGTCTTCCATTTTGTTTCCACAAACGGCTTTTCTGCTGTCTGTGTGGTGTCCCTCAGGGCTCTGTCCTCGGTCCCCTCCTCTTCACCCTCTACATGCTCCCCTCGGTGACATCATCCGCAGACATGGGGTTAACTTCCATATGTATGCGAGATGACACCCAACCTTTCCTCCTCTACCCTCAACTCCACGACCACCGATGTCCTGACAGCTGCCTGTCCGACATCGAGTCCTGGACGAGAGACAACTTTCTTCAGCTCAACGTGCGTAAAACTGAGGCCCTCCTGATTGGCTCGCGTCAGCGCCTCCGCACCTCAGGCGCTGACAGCATCAGCATCCAAGGCTGCACTCTCCACCTCTCAAAGCCAGTCAGGAACCTCGGTGTTCTGTTCGACCCTGAGCTGTCCTTTCTCCCTCATATCCGCGCCACAACTGGCACCGCCTTCCATCACCTCCGGAATGTCGCCAGACTACGGCACTACCTCACCCCTCACGCTGCTGAAACTCTGGTCCACGCCTTTATCACCTCAAGGCTGGACTATGGGAACTCTCTCCTCGCCGGCCTTCCCGGCCCCTCCCTCCACACTGCAGGTCATTCAGAACTCTGCAGCTCGTGTACTGTCCCGCACCAGGACCACATCACTCCCACCCTCGCTCACCTCCACTGGCTCCCCATCCCCCAGAGGATCGAATTCAAGATCCTCATCCTCACCTACAAGGCCATTCACGGCCTTGCTCCCTCCTACCTCTCCGACCTACTATCCCCCTACCTACCTGCCCGTACCCTCCGTTCCTCTGGCTCCGGTCTGCTCCACATCCCCCGCCCCAACCGCCCTACCATCGGTGGCCGGGCCTTCAGCCTCTCAGCCCCGAGGCTCTGGAACTCTATCCCCCAGTGCCTTCGCCGCTTCCTCCCTTTCCTCCTTCAAGGCCGGTCTCAAGACCTTTCTCTTGAACCGTGCCTTCACTCTCCCTCTCGACTCTCTACCCCCTCCTCCTCCCTCCCTCCCTCACCCTGATCATTTCCTCCCTGCTTGGGTCCACCCAACTGTCCAGCGCCTTGGGACGTCCTCCCGACATGAAAGGCGCTCTATAAATGCAAGCTTGTTGTTGTTGTTTCACCATTGTGTCCCCAATGACAATTGCATTGACACTCTTCCCTGTGCCCCCTGTGCATCCATTGGCTTTTGACTCCTCTCCCCAGCGGTGTCATCGCCCTGACCAGTATTCAGTACAGAGAACCAGTTGTGAGTACCACACTTTCAGGGGATTTCTGCACTGCCCATCCGCTCTTCCTACCATGCTGGGTGGTCACCCTCTCACTCTTCTTCTGAACCCTTGTAGTGACACCAGCCTTTCCTTGAGCTCAGAAACCCTAAACTCAAGCTCAAACAGCCTTTGCTATACACATGTCCATCCAGAGCACACAAAGCATCCTGGAGTTCCAACATGACACACACAACATGGCAACTGGTCTCCGATGCCCTGCCATATCCCAGACATGTTTTAATATAAATATTATATATTTTATAATTATGCACATTTTTCCCCACTATCACCAAACTCCTTAACCAAATTCTCACGCTGATGGACTCTCTGCTCAACTAAGGCTCTCCAAGTCTTCTCCTTTATTTTGGACTCAAACAATAGCTCCCAGTTTCAACTGATCAGCAGATTTTTTAATCCCCAACACCTGCCCTATGATTAACTGCTAATTGATTTATTTGCTCGCTTATATAAGGTTGCCTGTACCACAAGATAGATTTCCAACTCTTCTGTCAAATGAAAGAGTTCTCCCTTGCTCCCTGGTATCTCTCTTGCTGAAGAATTCCCACTCTCACCAAATTTCTTGACAGAATTCTCACTCTAGTCCACCTCACTCAGCTTCCTCCTGTTGCTGGGCTTTCTGCTCAAGTGAGACTCTTGCACGTCTTCTCCTTTATATAGGACTCAAACAAAAGCACCCAGTTTTTGTTTGAGGAAGATGAAATGGGAGATGAGGGAAATTGAGGGAGATAAAATGGTCATAGGTGCCTTTACCAGTGACAGTGATTTCTGAGGCCATGGGGCTGTCTGTGGATGTGGGTGACGGAGTTGATGCAGAGGGAGAGATTGAAAGGAGAGAATGGAGAAATTAATAGGCCAAGAGGGGCTCTGGAGCTGAGAGCCATGCCACCACCATGACAGCTGGGCGGGGGTAAAATGGAAGTTGTAGCCAGGTGGACTGCCCTCACTGAGGAGGAAGGTGTCACCGGAGGTAAACTAGGAGTTCAGTGAGTCAAAGCTATTGATGTTGAGTTTGTGGAGTTTATTGGAAAGTGCAGACATTTTGAAGGGCAATGTGAAGGGGACAGGCAGCTGTGGAGTTTCAGAACAAAGGAGGGGGAGGACGGAGTTTAACAGGAAGGATGGGATATGAACGAGCAGAGAGAAATTTGTTCCCAGATGGCAGCACCACAGTGGGTCTTAAAAGTGGAACCATGCAGTCAGGGTGGCTGCTGTTGGATAACTGGCAGCAGGTGCCACAATGAGCCAGCAGAGAATTTCCCGGTTAGAGCAGAGGAAGGCATGAGGTAGTTAAGGTGGGGAGGGCAGCAGGAGAGAAGAAGTGAGTGGGAATAATGAAGGATGGAGGCCAGAAACAGGGGTATTTTTTAATTCATTTGATACATTAGCTCCTGGGTTTGCCTTAATAAAAGCATTCATTGAGGCAACCCAGGAGCTAAATTGAGTTGTAAATTTGTATTCAATGCAAATTAATACAAATTTTATTAAATTTTGTATGAAATGCCTCAAAATATATACAAATAGAATTTAATGTGGGGAAGTGTGAAATTATTCACCTAGGTAGAAAAAATAGAAAAACAGATTATTTTCTAGAGGGGAGAGATTAGATTGTGTTAGTGTTCAGAGGGATTTGGGTGTCCTTTTACACCAGTCTCAGAAAGTTAGTTTGCAGATGCAGCAAACAACTAAGAAGGCGAACGGCATGTTAGCGTTCATTGCAAAAGGTTTAGAGTACAAGAGTAGGGAAGTCTCGCTGCAACTGTATCGGACCTTGGTGAGACCGCACCTGGAGTATTGTGTGCAGTTTTGGTCTCCTTATTTAAAAAAGGACATACTTGCCCTCGAGGGGGTGCAGCGTAGATTCACTCGGTTAGTTCCTGGGATGAGGGGACTGACCTATGAGGATAGGCTGAATAAACTAGGGCTATATTCTCTAGAGTACAGAAGAATTCGGGAGATCTTATTGAAACATATAAGATTCTTAAAGGGCTGGATAAAGTAGACACTGAGGGTCTGTTTCCCCTGGTAGGAGAATCTATAACCAGGGGTCACAGTCTTAAAATTAAGAGTCAGCCTTTTAGAACAGAGTTGAGGAAACATTTCTTCACTCCGAAGGTAGTGAATTTATGGAATTTATGGAATTCACTACCCCAGAAGGCTGTGGATGCTCAGTCCTTGAACATCTTCAAGGCTGAGACTGATAGATTTTTAAAAAAACAGAGGGATTAGGGGATATGGGGATAGGGCAACCACCCAGCATGGTAGGAAGAGCGGATGGGCAGTGCAGAAATCCCCTGAAAGTGTGGTACTCACAACTGGTTCTCTGTACTGAATACTGGTCAGGGCGATGACACCGCTGGGGAGAGGAGTCAAAAGCCAATGGATGCACAGGGGGGCACAGGGAAGAGTGTCAATGCAATTGTCATTGGGGACACAATGGTGAAACAACAACAACAAGATTCCATTTATAGAGCGCCTTTCACGTCGGGAGGACGTCCCAAGGCGCTGTACAGTTGGGTCAGGACCCGAGCAAGGGGGAAATGGTCAGGGTGAGG